CAGCTAGCAAATGGCTGAGACAGGACACCACCAGCTGACTCGGCCTCCAACGTTCAACTCAAACCCACCAACCCTACACATCAGGCTTCCTCATTATCACACTCCCTACAGGATACACAGTGCCAACATATAGATTCCAGCGAGAAGTTATTAAAAAAAAATGAACTTGAGCCCTGTTCCCACATCCAAAATGAGTTCATAAAAATGAAGTGTTTAAAATTCTTGAGTGGTAAGGGAGAACCAGTTCTGCGAATGCTTTGTCTTCACCACTGAACACCACTTGCCTATATTATCTTGAACTGTTTCCTTAGGTCCTGGGTCCCTGGTGTGCTTACAGATGGTTTCCATTTCTAAATCTCTAAAGCTTTCAGGAATGTATTCCTGGACTTCCAAGCCTGCTCAGTTGCAATTTCTCACCACTCAAGGCCTTAGCCAGTCAAAAAAAAGAAAAAACCACCCACACTTCTGCTTTCCCTGGATTTGTACTGAAGTCCTTGGAGTGCAGAGAAATTAACGCACTGTTTGGCATTCTCTGCCACCCATTGCACCCCATGTCTGACTTCCACAAGGAGAAGACTTCTGTTTTAATCATGGCTTCCTAGACTTGTGTCTCCCTAAAATTATTTAACTATGTCTTGACAAAAGTGACTTGTCATGACCCAAGGTCTTTTCTCTTGAGAAAGCTTACCCGTGAACTTACCCACATGGCTGCCTTCATAGCTGTGAAGGGAATGGCTCCTTGACATGCTGGTAAGGGCTGTGTTTTTAGGAAGATTACCCCCATATTTTCTTAAAAGACCCTAAATTACACCTCTTGAGTTAGATAAGCAGCCTCTCTCCCCTCAGGGTAACTCAAGGAGCATGGCCAGGCTCACATCACCAGATCAACTTTGGGGCGAATTTCCACCCAGCACATCCCAGAATCTCAAGTATGTTTACCCACAAAGATGGAAGTTAGGAATTATGTTATTTGGGCACCTTTGAGACAAAAAATCTATTTGAATAACCCTGAAGTTCTCAGGTGTGTATTAATGAACCTGGTATAAAAACACAGCTGCACATGGAGAAATAAGTGGTGTCAATTAGAAATCAGGCTGAGGGGCTGGGCTTCAGAGTCAGCCTTGGTTCCTGTGCTACTTCAGACAGTATGTGTGGCCCTTACGGTAACATGAAAATAGGAATTACCATTTCACGTCACAAGCGAGAGAAATGGAACTCGGCTAGATTCAATGACATTCCCCCGCCCTGGATGCCCTTAGAAGTCTCACCCAAAAAAATCCCCCAAAAAACACATACAGAATATTTCTTTGAAAAGTTACTTCCTGATAGTTATCTAACCCCCATTGAATTAAACAGCAATGTCAACTTCATTGACTTACCCAACACCTTGACAGTGCAAATTGTCAAGGATTAGATGAATAAGAACTAGAAAAAAATGACACGAATTCAGTAGCTACTCCATGAAGAATAAGACTGTCCAATCTGGTTACATATCACGATACCTAGGATTTTGCCTTAGCAGTCACCTGGGTTCCAGTTTGCCAGCCAAGACAATCACTAAGCAGATAAAAAAGGTGGGAAATGAACAGGTAAAAATTATGTAAGCAGGACAAACATTTAGACAAATCAGAGCATTTCTTTCAACAGTAAACTGCTTTTGACAAATCATATTTCATATGTCCTCTATGGATTTTTTTAAAATAATTTACAAATAATCAAAAAAGTAAGACAAACTTATACTCACTCTTTATTTAGTAAGCACTTGTTAGCGCAAAGGGTGAATAATATCTAAAATGAGTGTTCAGGTCTATATGTGAACAACTTGGCTTTAAGTGTTCAACACAGTCCATTAGCCTCAGGGGATTCAGGGGAGCAACTGGAAATGAAGCTTACCAGTAAGCAGAAAGGCTTTCTTGTTCCAGTACATACCTACGACCGAAAGTGATGACTTCCCCAAGACCAATTAGGCTAATGTCATGACTAACATTTGCCTTTATAGTATTTGTGTATTTAAACATTTGTATGTACATACATGGCACCTTAATTGCTTTCAAGAATCATTTTTGATTTTGCAATTGTTTGCAATAATGACTAACAGTCATCCATTTCACAGTCATCAAATCATAACCTTGAAGCTTTCCTTAGTTTGACCAGGGAAGGCTTGAAATGACTGCCCCTAACGTGAAACTTAAAAACCATAGACAGAACACAGTTCATACGAGAACACAGCATGGTTTGTTCTGAAAAAGACCAAGGCAGGAGAAGGATATGAAGGTTGGAGGATCTAACCGTTCAGGGCTTTCCTATTGGATCCATAAAACAGCGTGATAGGAGGCGAGACAAGGTTCTCTTCCACACATCATGGTGGCTGCCTGAGCAGCAGCTAAAGAAGAAAAACGCCCTTTCCATCTCACCACTGTTGGTAACTACATCCCAAGCTGTCAGCTCCCTCTCCCCACCCACTGAAGCTTGGTGAAAGACTAACTGGATAAAGGAACCAGGCAGTCATAATCATTTTAAATTCAGCTTAAAAATTATCTTGCTCAAAAAGCTAACAGTCACTGAATTCTCTGTGTGTGAGAGAGGATGCTGCTAATATCAGGCTATACTCCAATACGCCTCTCCCCAAAAACACAATCTAAAGAAAAACACTGTAAATACACAGACAGCCCTTTAAGCCAAAGTAGGCCACCCAACACTAAGGAGAGGGGTGACACAGAGAAGCTAGCAGGCAGCCACCTCAATCAGCAGAGGCCCTGCAATGGAAAACACTGTCAACTTCAAGTTTTTATGGGAAAGGACAAAAGGATGGATTTCCATTTGCTGCCACGTGTTCTCCCCCATGCTCTTCAACAAAACCAGCTATTGCAAAAACATTCAGCTCGTATTTTGTAAATGCAATCAAAAGCCCCTTTTTAGGTGGTGAAAAAATAAACCATCACCATCCCATCCCCCTCCCCCAAATCAAGGAACTTCACTTGGAAAATCAATGATTTGAAAGAAAATCAGCCTTTGACGGCACTTAATGGCGTTTAGCAGATCTGGGGGAGGAAGAGGAAGGTAGCATAAACTCCCTCTACCACCGTCAGCCCAGCCACCCGCTCGGGGTTCACGGAGCTAGAATGAGCAGAACAGGGGGAAAGATCTGGGCAGGTAACCATCTTCTCACTCTAGTTTCTGTAGGCCATCTTGCTCCTACAAATGCCAGCATGTCTTGTCGCCAGGGCAACACCCACGGTCAGTGTGACACCAGCATCCCTCCATCCAATGCCGGGCACAAAGATCTGCAGGGCATACAGCTAATCCATAAAAACTGAGAAAACCCACACCCCCACAGAGGTATGCTGCACGAGGAAAAAACAACAGAAAAGAGCAAGATGCAATTTTTTAAAAAAAATCATTTAATGAACACTGTGTCTGCATCATAAGAGCTCCTCTTATTGTTGGTCCATGAAATCAATCAGAAAGCAAAAGATGAGAGATCAGAAATGGAAACACAGGAGCGAACTGTCATTCGCGGCCAGGGCTCTTCACATTTAGGGCAGCCGCCTTTGTTCCTCGCTGGGAGGGGTGGGTGGGTGGTTGATGGGGAGATCTCGATGCGGCGCCGGGCCCTCCACACCCTGCTCCGCGGCGCATGCGCGAGGCCAAGACAAAGGAATAGGTAATTACAGTCCCGACTCATTCATTTTGTCCGCAGTCCTGGGGGTGTGTGAGCCCCGGCGCTAACCCCCGGGAATGGGGGGGCCGCTAGATCCATACCCCCACAGCAGAGGAGCACGTCCATGCTAGCCTTTGCCATCCCCCACCCCCGCCGGCCGCGCCGGGGCGAAGGAAGAGGTGTGGCAGCCCCGCACCATGTACAGCAAAAACGCAGCCAGGTGCACGGCGCCCGCGCCTGTAGGGTGACATTTCTCCTGCAAACGCTGCCCACGGGGCTGCCTTCGAGGTGGACTCGTCTCTGGGGAAGCCGATAAGGCGCCCTGCCAAGCGCTCGATGAATATTCATGAAAAGAATGCGGGTGTGCAGCCACGCAACCGAATGTGTGCAACCGGAACCGGGGGTCCTGCAATTTTTATTTTTCTCAGGGACTGCAGCGGAGTGTTGGAGGGGGGGTAGTTGGAGAAGCAGGCAGGACGTCGGGTTTCAGTCCGAGCGCTGTGGGCGCAATTCTCTGGCCACCCCCACCCAACCGGAGCCCGGGCTCCAGGCGAGGCTGGGCAGGTACAGGGCCACGCGCTGTCAGGTTCCAGCTCACGCCCCCCGCGAGGGCCAGGGTGGCGGCTCGATCCAAGTGGCTGAGCCAGAAAATGCCCCGAGACAGCCGGCCGGAGAGTGGGAGGGCGATTCCGGCGCAGACGCCCGCTGCGCTCGCTCGCTCGAGCCGCCTGGGAGGTGCTGCTGGGTGCACGCTGCCGCGCGCCTCGTGGTCCCAGGCCACCGCATCCAAGACCCGGGCGGCCCACGGTGGGGAGGGAAGCACCCGCTCTCCACGCCGAGGACCCAGCCCCCTTCCTTCGGATCGGGCCATGCTCGCCAGCTTCTTTCCCCCCTCCTTCCCGCCCCGCCCCGGCCCCTCCATCTTCTGCCGCTGCGCCCCTCGCGCCCAGAGCTTTTGCTCCCAGCCGTGGATGGATCCAGAGACGGCCACGATCCTTGCTACCCTTAAACTGGGTCTCCTGGCCTTGGCGCGCCCCGAGGCGTTTGCCTGGGGCACTTTCCTCCCGCACCAGCAGCTTCCCTCTCCGCCGGCCCCCACCCCACTGCCCCGGCGGCCTCCCCACTCGGCGGGTTTGCCACAGCCGCCCCAGTCGCGGACCCCTTTCCCGGGATCCCCGACGGGGCCCTGGAGGAGGGACGCCTACCCGCCACCATCTAATCCCCCCAGCCTCCGGCCCCGGCCCGGAGAGCCCAGGGTGGCGGGGCGGGGCGCGCTGCGCCAGGGGCGCGGAGGCCCGGGGTCGGCGGTGGCCAGGGGCCACCGGGCGCGCCTCCTTACCGGCTCTGGGTGCCTGTGCCGCCCCTGCTGAGCGCGGTGCCGCCGAGGGCCGGGTCGCTGGCGTCGTCCGCCCGGTGCCTGGCCACTGGCGAGGCTTCTCTCCCGGTTCGACGGCGCAGCCCGGAGCGAGGAGCGAGCCGGAGCGCTGCCGCCGCCGCCTAGCCGCTGCCGCTACTGCCGCCGCCGCCGCCGCCGCAGCCTCTGCACCGCGCGCTCCCCCTCCCCTTCCGCCCTGCGCCCTCCCCCGCGCCAGCCCAGCCTCCCCGCCCGCCGCTCGCCCCTCCCCTCCGCTCCCCTGCCCTCCCCTCGGGCCGGCCCCGCCCGCCCGCGCCCCCTCCTCGCCTCCCCTGCTGCTCCTGCAGGTCCTCCGCTCGCTCACTGCCCCCTCTCCAGGCCCCCTCCCGAGGAGCCCCCTTCCCACCGCGCCGGGGATGTCCGGGGCCTCGCGCCCTCCCTCCCTCCCTCTCTCTCTCTGCGATTTGGAACTGTTGACTGTTGCACAAGAAGGGATGGAGCTCCCACACCCACTTCAGGGGCTGCGATGAACAACGCCCACCACCCCCAGCGGTGGTGACAGCAGCCGCCTCCGACGGGCTCTCCGCAGGCAGGGCGGCCCGGACGACCCAGCGACCCAGCGGCTGCCGGGGCGCGGCGGGACAGAAGCCAGTGGGGTCGCGGCCAGCCGCACGCACGTCGGAGAACCGCTCGCGCGCCTCGGGCGGCTCCTGCAGGCGCGGGGCTGAGCCTGGCAGGCGGCACCGCCCCTCCGAGATGCTGCGGGGACCTGGGAGAGGCAGGAGGGAAGAAGAGAGCCGGAGGAAAGGGGCTGGCGACCCTTTGATGTCTGCGCTTGTCTGGGCTGGTAGGAGGACTGAAGGCGGCGGAGGAGGGCCGCGCCTAGACAGGGACCCTGCGGGGCCGTCACTTGGTGTCACCGCGGGTCGCACAGTAGCCTCTAGGGTTGGGAAATACAGCCAGCTGCGCACGCACCTGTTGGCAAAGGGGAAATGGGAAACAATAATAGCAATATAATATTAGCGTAGCATCCCTTGCAACGTGGCTTCTTCATTAGACAAAGCCGGTTCTACCTTCCTGCAAAACGCAGCCGAGCCTCGGGAAGTTTGATTCGCAGCATTTGGGCGCCCTCTGGCTGTGCCTGCCTTGCCCGTCTAAACCCCTGCAAAGAAAACCTCATCCTCCTGGGAGGGTCTGCACCAGCCCAGCCCAGCCCAGCCCAGCCGCGGGCGCGCAGTCAGGTCCTGACTACGCCCCGGGTAGAGGGGACGAAGCGTAACCTTTGGGAGGGCGGCAGGCGACCCCGTAAGCGCGGCGTGCACAGCTGGGGAAAGGTAAGTGCGTTTTCGCTTAACCGCAAAATAAACTTAACCCGAACTTAATTTCAGCGAGGTGAGGAAGTCCACCCAGTGTTACCCGCCGCAGTTTGGCGGTAGAACCCGTATTTGCACCTTCTCCAAGAATGCGCCAAGCCAGGTCCAGGTGTGCAAGCAGTCCGTCTCCCGTTTTCACCGACGAGGGCTCAGAGAGACGGAGTGAGGGTTGTTTCCTGTTGCCATTGAGATAAAGTAAGAAATGACATAATGCCAGAACAGCAAAGCAAACTATGAGTGAGGTTGCTTCCAAAGCATTTTGCTAATTTCAGCTTTTCTTGCCCCCTTCACACCAGCACATGAATAAGGTTGGCTATTGGGGGTGGGATCGTTGCTGCTGTAAAATGTTTGGTGTTTATATGTGGAGTGGCCATAGGCAGGCTACACACACACACATGTATACACACATAAACACACTCACATATGCACCCCTCTGCCACCGCCTGCAGCATCACCACCAGGTCTGAGGAGGCAAAATTATTCCAGGGTGAATGGATCAGGCTATCCGAAGATTAACCGTTATGAGCGGGCCTCTGGGTTTTTATGCTCTTGTTGAAGACATTTGGCAAGTGGACTTGAGCAGGCAATCATTTGACGGGCCTCTGCGCAGGCAAATGCATGTTCCTACTATGTTGGCACGATAAGCTCATGGTCACCGTCTTCTTCCTATATCCTTTTTCCAAAAAATAATAATAAGACATAAAAAATTATGTTTTCTATCTTCACTGCCTCTGGGTATATTTCCCTGATGGAGACAGCCAGCCTTTCAAGGTTGGAATACAGATGACAGGTTACCGTGGAAACGGAGGCGACAGCTTGCTGGTCCATTCATCCGGGTCTTCTTCAGATTCAGTCATTCTCTTAAAAGCCTCTTAAAAAATTATTATTTAATGAAACAATCATACAATTGACTGGCAGTACACATACTCTTAAATTACTAGAATTTGTAGACAGGCAAAATTGTACTTATCAATGCAACTACATAACTATGTATAACTCAATTTGGTGACTTTTTAAAAATTTTCTTGTAGCTGTTCATCTAACAAGTTACATTTTTCAGAGGGTGAAGTAGGGGGAAGATTTTCCACATCATGTCCTTAGGAAATGAATGAACATGAGTGTTTAAAGCCCTGGCGTTTAGAACCTCGTTAATAGTAACTGAGACGGATGTCTCATGCTGCTTAGATTATACATCAATGAACTCAGGAGTATATCCCAAGGATGTGAAAAGGAAATGAATATGTTTTAAGTCCACAAAGCTGTGATTAGTAGATCCACGTCTGAATTCCAGCGTCGGTGTGGTTGCTTGGTTGACTTGTGAAGATATTTATCAGAAAGGTCAACCATCTCACGGGACTTACCACGGACGTACTTGCAATATATGGATTCACCTCACTTAAAGGACTGGCCACTTTACAGAAGCTTCCATGTGTAGGTCCCTCTTCAAGACGTGCTTACTATGTCAACACGGACCACATGTCACCTCCACCCTCACCGAGGACTCCAAGTTCTTCCCAACATTTGGGACCATCCACCCAGGCCTGGCATCCTAACTGGGAAAAAGGCTAAAACTCTCCAATGAGAGGTGCAAAGCAACATAGATTTCAGCAAAAACCCAGTGATGGCATTGTCACCCCAATGCCACCGCGGCCACCTTTGCAGGACACTTCTGGCTAGTTTCTGTTAACCCCACTGAATTAACCCAAACCCACAGGGACCCACTTCAAAATGCTAACAGTAAATTCTGCTTCCATTGGCAAGTTTTGGGTAGAGGAGTTTGGTTACCAAATCTCTCCTATAAATTGCAGACAGAGGTCATATAGTCAGTATTTTGAATGAAAGCATTGTGGGTTTTTTCCCTTCAACAGAAACTATCTAAAAAGAATCCAAGGAAATATCACTGAGGGTGAAACCACAGTCGCCAGACTTTCGCAATACTGACTGAGGGATGGGAGCAAGGATGAAAGATGAAGACACACAGATCCCGGTATTTTCTCTCCCACCCACCAAGGCCGTTATTGTAACCTTGGCCTTTGAACAGCCCAGTGGAAGGATGCCCTTTGGCATAAGTCAGGGGCCCCAGCGGGGCTTGGAGCTGCTGCTCCTGCAGAGGACATCCAGCAATTCCTGGAGTCAGTCTTGGCTGTTACTGCAAGACGGGTAAGGGAGGGAAGGGTGTTGCAAGTGCTTAAGAAGTAGTTGCCAGGGATGTCGCTAAATATCTTACAATGTACAGGATACCGACCCATCTACCCCAAGAAGTCAGGAGTGAGAAGGCGCAAAACAGCTTGCCGTTTTGTTGTTGGGTTTTTTTTTATTTAAAATTTTTTTTTAAATTTTTTTATTTGAAAGGCAGGTTTATAGAAAGAAGCAGAGACAGAGAGAAAAATCTTCCATCTGAGGATTCACCCCCCAAATAGCCACAACAACTAGAGATGAGCCCATCTGAAGCCAGGAGCCAGGAGCTTCTTCCCGGTCTCCCACACAGGCACAGGGTCCCAAGACTTTGGGCCATCTTCTACTACTTTTCCAAGCCACAAGCAGGGAGCAAACGGGACAGAATCTGGTGCTCATAAGGGACCCTGGCACATGCAAGGTGAACATTTAGCCACTGAGCCATCTGCCAGGCCAGAGACAGCCCATTTCACAGGAACATGAAGTGACCTCCTTGTTGGGAAAGTCGTGATTCTCCTAAGAGCCTGGCCCTGGGGCTTAGCCGTGACTTCAGCAACAGAACAGGCGTAGAAGTGCAGCATTTCAGATATTCTTTTTCTTTTAAATAAGATTTATTTTATTTATTTGCAAGTTATTTATTTACAGAGAAAAAGAGTGAGGAACAGAAGGGTCTTCCATGTGCCGTTCACTCCCCAGATGACTGCAGTGTCGGGGGCTTAACCAGGACAGGAGCTTCTTCCAAGCCTCCCACATGAGCCTCCTGCTTGGGTCATCTGCTGCTTTCCCAGAACATTAGCAGGGAGCTGGATTGGAATTGGAACTGCTGGGACTAGAACCAGTGCCTACATGGGATGCTGGCATTGCAGACCATGGCTTTACCCGCCACACAACATCAGCCCCCAGACATCCCTTTTGAACAGGAGTTTGCAAAGCATGCTGAGCCCTTGGTTGATCACTGCCCCTGACACAGAAAAGCCATGGTCATTACCAGAGCTATGCCAGAGGCTGCAATGCAGGATTTTGAATTGCATTCCTCATTCCTATCCACTGAGTGACTGAAAGAAAGTGGCACAGCCTCAGTTCCCCTTTCTACCCTCCTTACGTCCTGTAAAAGGAGAGCTGGGAAATCAATGAGCTGCTTACCAAGAAGCACGGGGTGTGAAGGACAGCCTGGCCACGGTGCTACACTGGGAGCACCTGCCCAAGATGGAAGCAGATGGAAACATACATGGGGTCTGCCTGGATTGTCTTCTTTCCAGTCTGCCTTCTCACTTGCCTAACGTATACCTGTCCCCTCAGTCTGGAAGCACTTTTCTACTTACCAGCATTTTCAAGAAAATATATAGAGCTAATAGCACAAGGGATGTGCTCCAGGGCTGGTGAAATGGCTCAGTTGCCCAATTCCTCACATACAGGGTCAGCATCCCATACCCTGGCTGCTCCACTTCCCGTTCAGCTCCCTGCTTATGGCTGGGTAAAGCAGAGAATGACCCAAAACCTTGGGTCCCTGCACCCACATGGAGAGTTAGAAGAGACCCCTGGCTCCTGGATCCTAGCTTTAGGTCAGCTCAGCTCCAGTCACT